TACTATATTTGAAATCAGTATTTCATACTCTTTTTATATCTTTATTTCACAACTTTGCTCTATGCTTTTGTGTTATCCCACATTGACTAAAGTAAGGGCCTATAGTTTTTGACTACAGCAAATTAAGTATGCATCAGCTAAAAACTGGTGTCATTTTGTAGAAAAATGTTTGTTCTATAAAACACATTTATCAAAAAAAATTCCAGAGTTATTTCTAGCAAAATTTAAAGCATTCTAAAATGCACTAAATCACGAAAAGATTTGTACAACAAACATTTTTTTACAAAATGATACGTTCCGCAGCTTTGAGCGAATCTTGATAACCAATGTATAGCAATTCTATCGGATGCCCCAACACCAGTTTTTAGCTGATGCATACTTAATTTGCTGTAGTCAGAAACTGTATGTCCTTACTTTAGTCAATGTGGGGTAACACAAAAGCATAGAGCAAAGTTGTGAAATAAAGATATAAAAAGAGTATGAAATACTGATTTCAAATATAGTAAAAACATATTATCCACTTACTCTAATTTAAATAAAAGTTGTTTTGAAAAGTGATAAATTATTTTTACAAAATATTGTATTTAAATGAATATGAACATGAGAGAAAATAAAGACAATAAAAAACTAAAAGTCCGACACATCCAAAACAAGTTTAAGGATTTATGTATATCCAAGTAGGTTGTTAACAATGCTGATCAAATGTTTTAATATAGCCAATCACGATGTACAGTATCACTTATACTAAAATAGAAAAGAAGAAAACGTGTAAGTGTAGATGTTATGGTCTAAATGTGAAGTTCCGCTATATGATAGTTTACTCAGTTGTCTAATTAAGAGCCATTAACAGCCATTGCACGTAAGTCACGACTGACGTTCTTCAGTCGGTGTTCTCAAAACCTTTTCAAACTAGGGAGCTCTTTTAGATCAAACATTTTAATGAATTTTGGTGAAGGCGCAAATCAAAAAGTTATATCGTTGCTGAGATATTGAAATTTTACGAAAAGCCCCGAAAAACTTGGATTCCAAAAATGAATGGAAACATAGATAATCAACCATACTGAATCTCGTGGCAACATTTATTTTTCCAATAAGTTTCAGAAACCTAATGAAAACCTATATGAGGTGGAATAATCCATTTTTGCCTATTTTTCAGTAAAGTTAAAAAATTCATAACTCAGTCAAAACCCATCCAAATTATGTCAGACTGTCAAGATATACTCTGTTTTACCTGCACAATGCGAGGTTTTACTTAAGAATAGTAAAACATAGTCTTGCAGTTCGAAAGGTTTCTAGAAAACTTTTTCAAAACCCAATGTATTTTCTGTTGGTTTGTATAGCTTTTATTGAACTTCAAAACATTGAGCAGGTAAAATAGAGTATATCTTGACAGTCTGACATAATTTGGATGGGTTTTGACGGAGTTATGAATTTTTTAACTTTACTGAAAAATAGGCAAAAATGGGTTATTCCTCCTCATATAGGTTTTCATTAGGTTTTTGAAGCTAATTTGGAAAATAAATGTTGCCACGAGATTCAGCATGGTTGATTACCTATGTTTCCATTCATTTTCGGAATTACCACACCTAAAGAAATATGACTCTCAGAAACTCTGATGCCACACTTAAACCAGGAAAAATTAAGAATCCGCTTAATTCCCATTTTGCAGAGGACACTCTGGACTATGTATCAATGAATAAAAACTGATAAATTGCTATCCCAGTATCCTGCGATCCAAACTGTTTTTTTAAAGACCTCCTAGAAAACCGATCTCTCAGGTATTTTTCGAAAAGAATTCTGCTTAAGAAAACATAGGCAAAACTGTTTTCTTTCGATAGCAGAAAATCTCAGACCTCCATCTTTATTAGTTATTCAAAAAGCGCTAATTAGTGTGTCTCGTGTACAAAGAGGTAATAATGACCTCACAGGACCGCAGAATTTTCTAAAAAACTCCTTAAAAATCTTCGAGATTCAATAATATTTTTATATATTTGTGAAGTAGACATCTCAGGCGACATGTCTGTATATCTATCACAAAAATCATTTTTCTGACGAAAATCGACTTTTTGGAGGGGAGGGAGAGCGGCCTTAAACTAAGTTTCTGATTCCATCAAAACTAAAAGTTCACGAAGCCCATACGCATCTTGTGTGCGGTTGCCTTTCAAACTACATTTGCCACCGTCCCCTTTTTCTTCTATAGGATGAATGAGTCAAGTATTTCACCGAATGTGTATATAAATATGTTTTCTTTTCACATACTTTTACAACGAGCAAATAAAACGTTCAGTTCATCATCCAGTTGTTCATTTATATTCTGCAATAAATAATTGTTTTGAATACATTCATTCATATATAAATTCAATTGTTTTTTATTTAATGTTATTCTATTTGCTTCTAAATATTCAATGATATTGAATAAACACGGTTTATTACTTTTATCAACTTCGGTTTTTATCGTTGTGTACATAGATAAGATACCACTATAATTGTTTGTTAATGCATAATCTTTAATTACCTTCAAGCATGGTTTAAAACATTCGAATTCATATAAAATACATTTTAACAGCGATATAGCGTCATCAACAAATGTTGATTCTATCAACGGGTTCTTATTATCTAGTTGTTCTAACACATATGTTGATGCTGTTGATAAAGTACCACGATACAAACATTTTTCGCCCTGCTCACAAGCGCTGCCCCAATCAATAATATAAAACGAACAGTTATTACCATTTGATAAACTAAAAACAAATCACAGAACAGTTTTTTAGAGCAGTTTCTCAAGAGCGTAACATGGCAAATTCGTTTGAGATAAGAAATGCATTAGTTAAAATGAAATCCTTTAGACTGCAACAGTTATCTAAAGTATTTTGTATAAAATCGCAGCGAAACAACAAACCCATCCACATAGGTGAGTGGTAAAAATTAGTGAAATCTCAACTGTAACTAGTATAAACCGGCACTTATCCTAATTCTGCATTACTCTTGAAGAATAACGAGAAAAAGTATAACAGAAGTCTCTACAGGCAAAGTTTTTGATAGAAAACTTTTTTGCTTGAAAACAAAAAATGCGCCAGTTTTCTTAAGAACGTGACAGCTTCTAGCTTTCCGTGATGTTTTGAAAGCGATTTCTCAACTGTAGACTCATTTCCATTTTGATACATCGGATGATTCGTGAAGAATGTATAAGAAAGCAGGAAGTATCCTTATCTACAACACCCAAGTCATAAACAGTGGGAGAAATAAAAGATAAAGCATTAGAATTGACAAAATTCTCTCTGATGAGGATCTAAAAAACACTTAAACGTAGATAATCAACTATGGTGATCATCGTGGCAGTGTTTATTTTTGTCTGCAGATTGAAGGGAGCTCACGGCTTTTTATCGAAAATCGAGTTTTCACTATTTCAGTGTAAACTTCAAATAGTTATGACTCATTCATTTTTGGTCCAAACTGACTCAACATTTTAGGAGACACTGATCCCTATTCGTCTAATACCAGTCAAGACGGAAAAACTCACTCTGCTCCACTAAGTGACAGACCGATTTCCGGAGACCTTCCGTAGAACCAAGGGTCTAAAAAATGGTTTTGTAGGTCTGTTGCTCGTTCTGCTGTTTTTCTCGGTCAAAACTACATATTTGCTGAAATGTTGAGTCAGTTTGGACCAAAAATGAATGAGTCATAACTATTTGAAGTTTACACTGAAATAGTGAAAACTCGATTTTCGATAAAAAGCCGTGAACTCCCTTCAATCTGCAGACAAAAATAAACACTGCCACGATGATCACCATAGTTGATTACCTACATTTAAGTGTTTTTTAGATCCCCAGACTTGTCAGCTCGGGGATAGAAAGGTCCTCGGAGAATACCCATAGCTTTGTGACAATAGACAGAACTAAGTTTCTTCTATATGTCAGACAGTTTTTGAGTACAGGTTACTATGTAAGTTCTAAGAGTGGCAAAGAAGGATATTTTGCTTCGAAAGGCGTACCATGGTGAACCTTATTGAGCGACTCTATTTTTCCACAGATATATGTGCCCTGGTGTCTAGGCTGAAAATCGCAACTCGCTAGCTCTGTTGGTTCAAAAGTTATTAAAACAATATCCGACTGCATTCTATTTTGAAACAGATAGTAGTTGTTTTTTTATCGTATGAATTAAGGACGCCGCCTCTGTCCAAAGTGGAAATGAGTATTCCGTCGATTTGAAGTTTGACGTTTCCACACGTAGAGTCAAGTATTCCCTATGAGACAGAAGCCTTCCCTACACTCAAATGAATTATCTGCTTCAGATTCACAATTTATGGGTTATTTTTAACATATTGCGGTTTCAGGTTTTTACAACAAAGCTTGAAAGGATATCTTCCAACTTCTTTCTCGCTCTGCTAAGTAAAATCTTATTAGTTCCAATATTTTCTATATTTACAATTTTTTATTTAAGCGCTTTAACGCATGCAACATACCTATTACTTTTTGTTTCAATGATGTTTGGTTTTCTAATATCTCGATGTACTAAATTCAGTTCATGAGCATTGACTAATTGGTTCCATATTGTTGATATATTTGCTAATAACAATAAATTTTTAGACGAAATAATATCACCGGGCAAATGTTTGAACAATAATCCATAATCATTAATTGTTTCACATACAAAATTTTCATACTTAAGTTTTTTGTATATTTCATATTCATTATGAACGTTATCAGTTGTTATTTTTAGTGCATATAAATTTTTTTTATCGTCATTTTCCATAAAACAAGTTACCACAACAGAATTTGCACCAACGCCTAATACTTTGTTATGAATAACTAAATCGTGAGGTAATGGATTCAATTTAATAAAACCAAAGTCTTCATGTTTCATTGAAAAAAATGTTGTGAGATATTTTAATAAAAATTCGACGTCGTTTCCAAGAACATTTTGTAGAGATATTTCATATTTATATTCACTATCACTAATACGCACGACTTTTGCAAATCTAATACTAGCGAAATCCGTGATGGCACCAATCATATATTTTCGTTTGGGCGAATAATCTAGAACGATTTGTAAGTAATGTAATAATTGACCAACATCATTATTTTTCAATTTTTTTTTTAGTTCTAATATTGACACAATATTTGTTGGTAAGTATGCAATATCAAGACTACTGTCTAATGCTTTACGCGCTAGATTTGTATCATTAACGAGACAGAAACCCGGTCTCAAACCCCGAAAAACATTTTTATATACATCACCATAATAATTGTTAGAATACTGTAATATTGCTTTATAATGTGGAAACAGTTTTATAATATGTTGATAAAAATTTGATTGAATATCATCTTTAGATAAATCTCTAACATGTAAATAACCCATATAATTTTGCTTGTTATCTGTCATTGTTAACCATTCTTTTAAAAAATTTGACAATAATACATTCATTGGCAACATATTGCCAATGATCTGCGCGATTGGATATACATGGGTATTATCGTAATAAAATGCACGACTCTTCGAAGCTGATCTCGCTTCAGACATAATCAAACGACGTCTAATACTCTAGAATAAAAGACAAATAACGATACTGTTATCATTTTGTGACTTTTATGAAACTTCTCTATATGATCTGGGCGAAAAAGAGTGGGAGCTTTAGAAAAGAAAGGCTAAAACATCATAAAATTTCAGCTCTTGTTCCAGTGAGATGAGATTGTTGACAAGGGTTACAGACAGGAATTCAGTCTCAAGGATTGTTGATAATCTGGAAGATAAATACTATTATATCTCGGCTTCATAGTAAATGGTATATTATAGGCATGATAATAATTATAAGTGTGAGAGCCTTACAGTCAACTAGTCAATAATTAAAAAAATCGACTAGTACTTCAGTGCAAAATCTCTTGAGTTTCCATTATCTAAGACTAACCTTTCACTCTTTAAGTTTTCTAAATATATAGTTCTTATATTCACATTAGAAGAAACGTCACTTTTAGACCTGATGCGTATACTGTACTAAGCTTTTCTTCTATATGACAGATTAACGACTTAAGAGACGATTCGCCAGCCCATCAAGTAATTAAGTCACGAGTGAAAAATTGACATATACTTTTTATTTCATATTCGGATTCTACAATCAAAACTGGGGTTATGTAAAATAAAAAAAGCTTTCTGACTTATTCTGGCTGAGTTATAGAATTTACAAAATGAGCACCATCGNTTTAAAAGTCCATCGATTTATACAAATTAAGGGGGGGTGTTTTCCATTGTTTTTGGGCCAGGGCGGGGGGCTATAATTGGAAACGCAAGGGAAAGACTTTTACGAAAAGTCAAAAATTCCAGGGAGGAGCTGGCCCCTCTGCACTCCGCTGATCGGGATCGCTGATCGTCGATTTGCGAAAAGTAGCCATCTCTGATATTTTAACTATAACTCCGCTATTTTTTATCCGTTCTGTTCGAGCAACATCTCATTCGAAAGCCTGATAAAAAATAAACAAAATCACATAGTTCCTAATTTTTCTGAAGTAGGAAGTGACTGTTTCAAACCCACATCAATTGGAGAATTGGGATTTTGAAGGATCAAAATTTTCGAGAAAATGCCATCTTCGACCCTCGAAACAGAATTTAGCTAAGAATTCGAAGGTCACGGGCGATAGAGAATTCAATGTTGCACAAACTGAGCGCAAAAACTTTGTTTTAAAAGTCGTGCAAAAGTGCCAAAACTTGAAAACAAGATGGCCGACCAACCGCGAGTTTTCAGTTTTTTCAGATTTTAGGCATCAAAACTTCACTTAAAAGCAAAACTAAGGTGATATTGAGAATCAGCGTCAAAAACTGCATCAGATGATGTGCCTTTGAAATCTTTTAGAGAAATGAAAACTTTTACTAAATACGTCACGATTGTGGACCTCCAAATTCCGATCAAAATGAGACATCTCTCAGCTCTATACGACCTTTCTTTGCAAAGTTATAGAGTTTACAGGAAAAGCCCTAAATGTTCACCCAAATGAATATCATATTCGAAATCAGTATGGTCGATTACCTACAACCTACTACATTTCGTTAAAAAAACAAGGATACATTTAGGGAGCTTCGTCGTAAATGTTAGCGTAAAACTATCACTTTTTTCTTACTACTATGCGTTCCAAAATACAAGACAGTCAGCCACTTTTTGAATAATTTTTGATAGGAATAAGATAGAGACCTGCGATTTTCCCTGTTCAATAGCCAAGACTTGAGCAGAACTTTCTACAAGCGAAAGCAACTTTTGAAAAAATTCCAGAGATCGGGTTTCTAGAGGATCTTTGGAAAACCAGCTTCGTTCTCAGAAAACTAACATACAATGTTAGTAATTTTTTTGCATGCGTAGATAGTCCGGACGTTACTCTACAAAATTATGCAAGTCCCGGCTCTCCACCCATCGTCATTCGGACAGGGCTCGCTTTCCCCGAGCACGTGTCTATCTCCCAGCAGACATCTCTCGGAATCTCAAAATGCCATGGACTATAGGTAATCGACTACGCTGAGCATAGTAGCAACATTTGTTTTTGTGTAGAAATGAATATAACTTCGCCAGAGGCATTGTTGTGAAAAACCGGTTTTTCGCCTGTTACTAGCAAAAATTAAAATCCTTATATCTCTATCAAATCTCATGCTGACTCAAGGAAATTTTCAACAAATGCTCAGGACAGCTCATAAAGCATAATCGAAGACGAAAAAGGTGAATGTGAGCTGGGCATTGGCTTGAGGTTTTTCAGAAGGTTTCTGAAAAACCTTAAGCCTCTGAAAAACCTCAAGATTTGATTAAGCTGCAGAAGCACTCCCTTTCAATGTGCAAGGCGTCAGAAGAACATAACTATCTTTAGACTCATGAGATCTATATGCGTAATTTCTGATTAGCTTCGTTCCCGTTGACTAAAGTTATTGAGCGTTGTTACTTACGATAAAATAAAGCTAAACGAAAAAGTGACGAACTTTAATAAAAGGATTGGATTGATTTCCAACTAGTTTCGGATGTCACCTATACAAAGAGCGTGTCTATGGTAGGCCTACTGTAAAAAATGTAACAAAGTAAAGTAGAGGATTATTTTTATCATTGGTTGGCCAATAAGCAGCAGATGCAAGTAAAGCAGAGATGCATTTTAAGTGCATGGGGCATAGTTATAACTGCTGCAGGCTGGCCAACGATAAAAATAATCCTAATAATAACAGGTAGCCTATTCCCTTGACTTTAGTCCAGGCTCTTACAAAATGGTTGTGTTGTGTATG